TAAAAAAAAAAAAAAAAAAAAAAAAAAAAAAAAAAAAAAGGGAAACTCCTGACTTTCTTTTCCAAGCTTAAAGGCGTCTCACTTGGGAATAAAGGAGATTTACAATAAGGAAGGGAACGTAGTAAGGAATGGAGAAAAGACATGCATTAGGAGGAAAGAAGTGTGAGCATGAGAAAGAAAGGACATGAGAGAGGTAGAATTGAAGGAAAGGCACAGCTTTTAGACAACAGGACAAGAAATTGAATCTATAAACAAATATTTTTCCTTACTCTTTTTTTTTTTTTTGGTTTGTTTTTTTCTTTTAAACTTATTCACTTCGAAGAATACAAATAAACTTTGAATTCCAGACTTTTCCACATGCATAGAAGACCTGGTTGGATGTTGGGTTCTGTTAAACGTTTTGTTACTGATACCAGTTTGACGACGTCAGCCTTTCCGCGTGCAGGTGATCGTCTCTCATCGCCCAGTTCATGAGAGATTTGTATCATCTCATATTCTGTGCTGACAGCAAGTCTTCACCCAGAGGTGTTGTTTTCTGCATGTGTGAAGCAAATCAAACACAGACTGCTGTGTTTTCCCTGAACTCTAGGCCGCTGCCCTATTTTACCTCCTGCCCCTGAGTGCAACTTGTTGGAGGCACATATTTCATGTTGTGTCCTGTCGCTGAGGTGGAGGGGGTAGCTGGCCGGAGAAGGGAAGGAAATGCAGCATTCTTTTGAGGAGCTGTGTGTTTTGAACTGGAACAATCGCCGTGGAGGAAAAACAAAGCTGAAAATAACCCCAGGCTGTTTGGTTGCTGTGAACGGCTGCAACTATTCAGGACAATTTATTGTTTTATACTCATACCAGGAATGAGAAAAAAAAAAATGGCAGCAAATGGATATAGAGATCTGGAAGAAGCTGGGGTCTGGAAACAACTTTAAATCCTTAGTTCTTATGTTATTGAGGCGAGTTTATAAGGATGATCAGAGTTTGACTGGTTATTTTGATAATAAAGCCTTAAATAGTGGATCTAAGTTTCCCTGAGCTGGGTCAGTACATCGTAGAGCCACTAACAGTTGTAAATTTTTTTGAAAGTCTTTTTAAAACATACAAAGATTGGAGCTTTTACCTGTTTCTCTTCACAGAAGGGCTCTAGTGACGTTCTAAAAATTGAAAATACGTAATTTAAACCATTCCATTGTTTTTTTGAGTTAGTTTTTTGGTTTCCTTTATCTGCTGTAAGGTGAACCTCCTCACAAAGTCCTGAGTTCTCAAATACATTTTCTTATTTGTTTGTCCCATATTCAGCTCCAATTATCACCTTCCTTGATCCCCCAGCATAATGCTGCCAATACCATCCTTTAACCCACCTACATCTTTAGTTTGATCATTTTCCCTATCACTACTTAAGAAAATATCCCATAGAATGATGATGACACTACCATGCTTTGTACTTGGATGGCGTAACTTTTAAGCCACCCTCAGATTGGTAATGGTAGGTAGTCCAAGTCCAGAAAGTAAAAACATTGCCTAGCTTTCCTTCATCCTGTTCAGTTAACCAGTTGATTAGCCCTCAGCCTGCACAGTAAAAACACAGTGTTACATTAACGCTTACAGAGTTGAATGTTACTCTATTTCAGATGACATTTGTTCCCACTCAAAATTTGTGTAAAATTGACTGTATATCTAGTGTCAGTTTGTCAGAGTAAATAAAAAAAAATAAAATAAAAGTCAAGAAGATCTCTGAGAATGGCGGGTAATCAACACCATGTAGAGTAAAAGCTACAGTGCATGACTGTCAGATTTTACACGGATTATTAACTCCAATACTTGAGCAGATTTATACTTAGTATAGTTGTAAGTACTCCAATTAGAGTTAACACCCTAATGTGCTTAAATGCAAACAGGTAACAGAAAAATATGGTAGTAATGAGGGTACATTAAATAACATAGTGTTTTATTTAGTCCCCAAATCCAGAAGTTAATTAGCAAGAAACACAAAAGCACCTCCACATCTGTCGTTTAATATCTAAAGAACTTTCATAATGCTTAATAACTCCCTCAGCTTCCATGTCAGAAATCAGGTTAATAAAAGCTGGATTGTTCTACCAGGTAATTCTCCCCCTCATACACGGTGAACTGAGGGGCTCCTTTTAGTGGGACAGATTAAAGGGTCTCTAAGAGAACAAAGAATAGTTTAGCTGCTGTATGTGCAAGCATGCAAGTGGAATTCAGCCGCACGCAGACTCGCTTCCAACAAGAACGACTCCCTGTGGTTATCGTGTTCCTTTTCTCTGCAGAGCTCCCGACTACTCAAGAGTGACATGCTGCAAAACGCTGGTTTAAAAAAAAAAAAAAAAAGAGGTTGGACAGAAACCAGGTGCTGAAAGAGCGGTGGTTAAATATTTATTTTTTGACGCCTTAATCATGCTTGTGCAAGAGAGAGGGTGATATTTATTTCCACATTTATCAACTTGCAAAACAGCAGCAGAATGATCTATTCTCAGGTTTGTTAAATGAATGTTAAACATGTTAACTGGTGGCAGTTTGTTTAATCTAAACTCTTGCATTCTGAAGCCTTATCCGCTGACAGGTCTGATTGAAGGTGTCCCTGTTTGCTTTAAGGAAAGAATGCTTTCTGTGTCAAACAAGCTGTTTGCTTGTTGTGGCTGCTGAGGCAACTTCCTGTCCCAAATGAGAATGGATCTATATTACATATCAAGCCATATAAAGAGGTTCTCTAGGGTTAAACCCATTAGTCAAATATCATTTTGTGTACCGAGAGAGCAGGCAGACACGGATGTGAGGAGGGTTGAGGGCGAGACCTTGACAGCTGAGATTAGGAGTTTTCTCCTGGCAAGAAGGGAAGTCAAAACTTTGTTCTATTTTAGCTGATAAGTGATGTATGAGCACTCAGTAGAAAGAAGGGAAACGCAGGAAGGAATTCTAATATGATGGAGATCAGGAGTTTTCTCGCACTGGAATGCACTCAGAAAGCCTCACAAAGTATTTTCCAAAATATGAGCTGTCAGCCTGAATCGTTGCTTCTCTGCATTCCTGTCCTCTCAAACTCCTAAATATTTTCGGTTTGGAGGGTAAATAAAAAAAGAAAACAGAGACAAGTAACGTGGAGTTATGAATGTTAAAACAGATGTTTAAAGTTTATTCTCTTTTTTTATGTTGTTTTCTATTTGTCAGGAGGCAAAGGTGAAGATAATGATGTCCAAGAAGGAGAGGAAGGAGAAAAAGATGCTTTCCTCCAAGGATGATGAACACTTGTTGCTGTCCGGAGAGAAGGTGGCAGAGCGCAAAGTGTAAGTTTCATATGCATTTTCTTTAGCATGGCAAACAGAATTTTGTTCCGTAACATTTTTAAAACCCAGAGATTTATGAGGTTAGACAAAAAAAAGGTTGTATTTTAGTTCAAATTTTTTTCCACTGGCTCAACTTAAGCAAAAACTAATGCTTCAGAGACTTTTTGTGTTATTAGAACTCTAATAACACAAACTACTTTATTAGTGACTAAAGAATCTGTTTAATAGTTTAATAAGAGCAGTTATTTGTTAAAAGGTCAAAAACTGCATAATAAATTTACAGTCTAAATTCCTCTTAAATATTCCCCATGCTACAAATGAGTATATATATTCACTATTGTACACGTCAGTAGCTCTGCAACCTGTCAGAATAAGATATGTAGACAATTTGAGATGTTAACCAATAACTTACACTTTTTACAAAAGGACTTTGGGAGCTTTGGTATCTCACCATCAAAATGTGCAATAAATATGGACAATAAAGGCAGTTGGTGTCTGCTGTGCTGGTAAATTATTAAGTAATATTAAAGCAGGAAGGCATGACACTTGAAATATTACAAACCACCAAAATTTGCTTTGCGGATATCAAAGGCGGCTGGGGGAGTTTTCTCTGGAGGGGGTATAAAAATAAAGTCGGATAGCAAAAAACAATCAAACGTATAAGTTATCACACCAGTATATATTTATATGAATGCCAACAACAAAAAAACATGATTAAAAACCCTATAAAAACAAAACATAATTTCATTTTCATGCTTCATATTAAGATGGTGGTTATCTTTGAATCATTATGCATCTCTATTCCCATTAAAATATTTAAGTAGCTGGTAAAGAGCAAAAGATTACCATCAAAACTGTATAAATACAGCTCAATATCTTAATATAAATTGTAAACTAATTCCTTGCACATATTTCCCCTTCCCCTACAATTCTCCAATTTATATTTTAATGACTTAGATATGAGTTTCTGTCCCAAAAAAAGGTGTTTTAAAATAGACGATGACTTTTTATTGGGTGTTTGTTCTGTTCTTACGGTGAATTTCTTTGCCTAATTTAAAGGACATATTGTTACATGTCCAATGCTGGCAGGCCAGAAATAGTTCAGCTTTATATCGGATCAGTATGGCACCATATTAAATCATTACCACTCAAGTGCGAAAGGCAAAAACATTTAGTTTCAGCTACTAAAACCAAAGCCGCACCCACCCACTTGGATTTGTTTACATGTAATTCTTTATAAGCAGTTTCTTTGAGACAAGCTGAGGAAGTGGAACATATATGAGCAGGAAAACCTTTATTAATGACCTTGCTTTGACAAACAAAAGGGAACTCCTCCATAAGGGCTCGGTGTGTGGGGAACACTCTGCTCTCCAGTGTTGAAATGTCTGATAAACACCAGTCCCTCCAGATCTATTTATGGTGACAATACAGGAAACTGTGTGGAATGCCTGTAACTTCATGTTTTAACCGCTCTCTTTTTAACCCTTTCTGTGTTTCCTCAAAGGTCTAACAAAAAGGTCAAGGAAGGGGAGAAGGAGAAGAAGGACAAACCAGAAAAGGGAAACTGTTTCTGGGACAATGTTACGATGACTATGAGGCAAATCTCACCTGCTAAAAAACCGGAGAAGATGGAGGGCTGGGAGCCACCGCAGCTGGGGATGGTTGCTGAGACTGTGGGTGAGGAAGCCCTGGTCGAGGGCGGTCAGAATGGAGAGTCTGCATTGTCCCTTCCTCCTGACTCCATCAGCATACCCTTAGAAATTCCTTCGTGGGGTGGACAGGGGTTTGAGGAGGACTCCTCCCGCTATGCCAACCTGAAGGACTCCAACGACCCAGCTGCTGCAGTGAGGTGGACGGCCCGTGCCAAAGTCAAGCTGGCTGGCATCAGTAGAATGAGCAGAGGGATCGTGTCAGAGGGCCCATGGGCCAATTTCAAGCAGTAGCATGGTTTCATTCAGTAGATCTGAACCGAAATTCTGCCTCCTAGTCTAGAAAACATGACACCATAGACTGTCACACAGGAAATAAACAAGGCAGTGCCTTAACGTGCTACTCCAGTAGTGACCAGTAAACAGGATTTATTTTTCTCCTTTTAGTTTCTGTTGAGAGCGTTAAAGGGCATATATCATCATTTTTATTACTTTTCCTTCTTAATGTGGGTCAGGTTTCCATCTGATAAGTTACATCTATGTCCATACTATGTATAAAAGAAAATCTATAAAAAAAAAAAAAAAGCATGAAGCATCTTATGATGCAGCCAAACAGTGGCAGCATCAAAAGGCTTTTTTGTATCAGAAACTTCCTTCTCTGCTCTGGGAAACGATAAAAGGACATGTTGTAATTTATTTATGGTTTGAATTCTCATTATCTAAATCCCCCCCAAAATGTGATATTTTCCCTTTAACTTCTTCCTAAATTACTAAAAGAATTTCCCTACAAGCTGTTATTTTTACATTTATTCATCCATTTTGTGCATCAAGGACAACTGGTTAAACCCCAAAACTTAAACCAGCTTTGTAATTTCTGAGCTATCTGTAGGTAACCCCATCATAATACAAATTATTGTTTTGAATTCTTGAATGTTACACATAAAACGTTTGTTTGAAGGAATTTTAAATCATTTGTGTTGTGAGTTTTTTGTAAAGGACTTTTAAGCTTGAATCACTAGCAAATTCTTAATCTGTTGAAATGAAAGCCTTAAACTACTGTCAAATGTCATTTTTTGAATGTGTGATTTTTGCCAATATGTTTTTTGCTCAGATGAGAGACAATCAAATATTATGCAAGCTTGTTATACTACTGAACCTTTATGTAGCTACTTTATACTTCCTTACTATGCAGATGCAGCACCCTGACACTGTCTGAAGCCTTAACATAAAAGCTCAATGAGTTGTGCAATCATTAAAAAAAAAGAAAAACTCCTTTGAAACGAGTGTGTTTTTGTGTCTTTGAAGGAAACCATATAATAAATGGTGTCTCATATGTTTTCATTAGTTTGTTCAGCAGGATTCCTATTTAACTTGATTTTAGTCATTTCCCGTTATGGATAAAGACAATAAGAGAATGGAGATATATTTTCTACTTCCCGAATTTTCTTATCTCATCATAACGTGTTATTTCCTCCTTTCATTTTCCCCTTCATTTCCATTGATATTTCCTTCATCCTGTCCTTCCTTCCTTCCTTTTCCCCTCCACCTCCTTGCTTTTCTGTATCCTTCCTAATTGTGTCTACACCCTCGTTGCTTTCTCATGTCCTTCCCTTCTATATTTCCTGCTTGTCCTAATTTGTGTCCTCAAATCCTTATTATACTGAAGCTTTGGCTTCTTGAAGGCTTTATAGATCTCCTTAAGTGCTTGCAACAATAATTGTGGAAGGTGCTCTATATTAGAAATTGTTCCACATATTAAGTTGTTAACGTTTTACAACACATTGGGTGTCCCATATTTAATGTATTGTGTAGAAATCTGGTGATAAACATATAAAATGTAAATACAATAATTTATTCTACAAATTAGAGCTTTAAAAATAATCAGTAGTAATAATTCTGGAGATTATTTCAATCCATTAAAGCATAAAACACTAAAGATGCATGATTTAGTTGATTTGAAAGTGTTACAGACAATGCAACAAGTTAACAAAAAAATATTTGACCTATAAACAGTCAATAAAATGTTTGAAAAATGAATAAGGAGTTATAATTTGAAAGGAATAGAGGTTTTTAAAAACCAAGATTCAGGACAAAAGTAGAATTCAATTCAGTTTATTTCTATAGCGCTAATTCACAACACATCTCATTTCAAGGCACTTTACAGTTCACCAGATCATACAGTCAAATTGATTCAAAGTTTTCTATCTAAGGAAAACCTGTTGATTGCATCGACTCACTGACTAAAATGCAATCCCTCACACTAAGCATGCTTGTAGCGACAGTGGAGAGGAAAAACTCCCTTTTAGCAGGAAGAAACCTCCAGCAGAACCAGGCTCAGTGTGAGCGGCCATCTGCCGAGACCGACTGGGGTTCAAGGAGACAGAAGCAGGAGTATTGCAGTAAATAGTGTACAATTATGGAACTAACAAAGAAATTCAGGAAACAAGGTAACTTAAACAATTTTAGAAAATGATGTGTACTGAGTAAGCAGGAAATTGTGGAAAAATTAAATTGTTTGTCACAAAGTTGAAATTTAAGTCTAAAGACATTTAAGTTGAATTAAGTTCTTGCATTTGAGATTAATTATGATAAATTTTGATATTTATTATGGGGTTGTAAAAAGAGTCAGAAAATGTAAAAATGTCTCTCCTCTCTGCTCCTTTTTGCATACAGACTGCTGGAATGTATTCATTTCTGCTTTTCTTTCAAATGAATGAAATAAAAAAAAAGGTGACTTGGACAGAAGGAAATGCAAATAACCAAACTAGGCTCAATCCCAAACACCAATTCAATTCATGACTTCTTTTCAAAAGATTTGCTAAAATGCATTCACATAAAATAGATATCACCATGTTTGCTGTGAAATTTAAATGAGCAAAATCACTTTCAGGACAGATTTATTTTTATGAATTAGAAGGAAAAAATTAGCACACACTTTTAATTTACTAGCCTGACAACACAATTAGCAGTTTCTCCTTTTATATTTTTGTTTACAGCTCCTGTCTCTATGTGGGACAAAAATCAACTTAGATTAGTTTTGTCACTTTAATGGTATATAAGTTACCAATCTGTTACAATGATATAAATGATTTTACTTTAAATCCATCCTAATAAATAGGATTGATTCACCAATGCTTAGTGCGTCACTGAAAATATTATTCAGCCGTTTTTTCTATTTACTTAATCATATTGTTACTTTAACAGATTTTTTTCATGTTAGCAGAGTAGGACATAAAACAAATCTGTCACAATATCTGAATATGATTAAGTAGATGCCAAAAACTGTTTTTTTCAGTGTATATGTGCCAATGGAGTTGGACTCCCTTTGATTCTGCAATATCCCTATTCATTGACTTATGTTTCCTCAAGAAGAAGAGTTAGTCTGACACACATACTTTGATTTGAAGGTTGAACTCTGTTATTGAGTGGTTAATAAGTTGATCACCCTTTTGCAGGAAAATATTATAGAAAACATTTCTCAATCTTCAGATTTCTGATCGTCTGGTTTGACCACCTTCCCACTTTTGTGAAGAGTTTTGTTTTTGTCAAATCAAACAGAAATCTGTACTGTAAAACTTCTGCATATCTGGATCAAAGCCATAAATACAACAAAACAAGCCGATTTTAGAAGCACTTTTAATTCATAGCTAGTTTCCCACACTGTAAACGTCACAACAGTACCATTAAGAGTATGTGTTGGTAAAGGGTTGTTACAAAATAGGGAAGAGAATTACAAAAGTCACCTCCCCGACCCCCACTTAAACAGTCAATGATTTTTCTATTTGCCACTGCAGATGCCAAACAGCAGTAGAAAATGCCACTGAGAGCTTTACATTAGCTGACAAAGGACAACAAACTTGTAAACGGAGTCGGACGTGACGAAGGAGCTGTACCTGTAGAAAAAACGCCAGCAGAAACAAACAGATCAGGATGCAATTAAACCTCACTGAATAAATAATCATCAGATCTTTTTTTCTTTTAGATTTCTGTAACTCTTTATGGACCTTAACAAATACTTGTCTACCTATAACAGACTAAAACACGTTTTACACATAAAACATATCTTCTTCTTTTATATACTTACATATTTTAATTCCCTCTATAGAGAGAAACCTTTTTTTCTGTCTTCAAGACTAACATCTATGCTGAAACATAAACAATCTTAACATTTTGAAACAAAGAACACATATTTAAGACCTCTATTTTTGGGAAATAACTGTGCACTGAAAAATAAAATCCATTTCGTGCAGTTTCAGCCCTTTTTTATTTAGGTAAACAACACTAAAGTGTAAACAGAGTCAAAGCTGGGTGGGATGGACAGTAAAGGAAATCATGTCGGAGGACAACACGGAGGATTTAAAATCTGAAGAGGTCAATAAAGTGCTGCGGAGAAATTGGCATGAGGCAGCTGTCTGGATCATTGGCGGTGCACGGGTGGCCAAAGTCCTGAGGGAGAGATAACATTCAGAATGAGAAGGATGAGTAACCAGGTAGGAGATTTACTCAAATTACATTCATGAGTTTGTAAAGATGGAAAACAGGGGAGTGAGGAGGTTGATGAGCACTGAAAGTCACTGAAAACCATTAGATTCAAAAAGTACATAAAATCCTGGAGAAAACTGTTGTACTATAACTTTATAACATCTGGCAAAAGTATTCATAACTTTTTCACATTTTTGTTAGAAACACAAACTTCAAACTAAATTATCTTGATTTCATGCCAACAAACAACACAAAATAGAGCATAATTTTATTGTAGTATAAAAATAACACATGCTTACTAAAAAAATTAAAAGGTGTGACAAAAAAAAAAAAATAAATAAATCAAATAAACAGAGCCACCCATCATTTTGAGAATATGCCAAACTTGAAAGGTTTGGCAAGTTCCTGAGGTTCTGAGTTCAAGCCCCACTCCCACAGACTGCCCCTCTGGGTCCCTGAGCAAAGACCCTTAACCCCGCACTGCTCCCCGGGCACCACACAATGGCAGCCCACTGCTCCCAAAGGGGATGGGTTAAATGCAGAGAGTTCATTTAGTTGCTCTGTACTTGTGACAACATAATGACAATAAAGTGGAATTCTATTCTATTCTATTACTTTAAACTCGGTATAGACGGTCTGTAAAGGTCTCAGAGAGTTTATAATGAAATATTAACAACCTGCAGCATCATAAAGACCTTTATAATAATGATTTAAGAGAACGTTCACAGAAACCTGGTTATACTAATATAATATAAAAGAATTACTCAATAAAAAGCATTTTTTGTAGTTTGACACAAGCCATGTGGGCGAAAAAGCACAGAGGAGTGTTGTTCTGTTCTACACACATGTTAAACATAACTTTTGTAGAACAGAAAAACTTGGAAAACAAAGTCCAGTGGTTTGTTTTTAACTTTTTTTTGGATTGACTATGACCTGGTTGACTGAGAATCTGCTAGTACACATGGCATATTAGCCTGATTGCACCCTTCTCATGATAGGAACAGTGCAATCAAAATGGATGGGACCTACGTATATGGATAATGCTGTAAGTGCCTGCAAAAGACTGGAGCTCAATCCA